CCCGGGGTCGCACCCCCCGGGGACAGCACGACGCCGGCGGGCGCGCAGGTGTGTGCCTGGAAGATTAACGCCTGGAGGGTGTTCCTCCCACTTCTCACGCTGCGACAGTGTCTTTCAGTTTTGGCAGAAACCTCTTGGGAACTGAGTCAGGACGTTCCACAGCCCCCCTTCCCCTCCCCGTCCCCAGGCAGAATCGGGTGTTGACCTCTGCATGGGCGGGACCCTTGGCTTTGGGCGTAGCTGTCAACCTCTGACCACGTCTCTGACCCTCCAAGGAGCATTTCTGCAGAGGCAGGCGGGGGCCAGGACTCTTGGGGCTGGAGTCATACTGGGGAACCCACGAGCCCCACACCCAGGCCTGCTGCAGTCCCTGTCTTGCATGAGCGTGTTCACGCGGCTTTGCTCCAGGCCGGCCACCAGAGGCGAGTCCTCAGCGTCCCCTCTTGGCGGGGAGCCCCCACCCCCATTTCCTCCCGCCCTGGCAGTGCTGGGTGACACAGTCACACTGGCGGCTCTGTTCATGCCCTTGGGATGGCTCACCTGATTCCACTTTTCCTTGAGTTGTTTTCCATAATGTCGTAAACATGTGACTGAAAGTGATTTATTTCAGGGTTGCCAAAAAACAGCTAAGGGCGCCACCCTGCTGGGGCACACCTGGTGGGGAGATGACCTCGCTCCTGACTTCGTGCCAGTGGTGATCAGAGCAGAATGGGGCTGGAACTGCCAGTCGCAGGACTGGGGAACGGTGTCCCAGGCTCTGGGAGGGATTTGTGCTTGGGGTTTCACAGCTTTTCCCAGAGTGATCTCATTTTTAAAATGGTGAAATGGAGTCCTGGGGTACTCCCCAAGCTCCAGAGAAGCTCCCCTGTCTGTTCCCCGGCAAAGGAGCGGTGTTGCCAGAGGCCTTTCCCAAGCGGCCACTGGCTCCAGGAAGGAGTAGGACAGGACCTAATTTCTTGTTAAAAAAGTTTTGGGGGACTGACTAGTGGCTCACTTGGAAGAGTGTCGTGCTGACAAAACCACCCCTTGTACAAACAAGCTGCAAAAAAAAAAAATAGTGTTTCAAATTGAGATAAAATACATTTTGTAGTGTGTGTCAAAGCCTCGTTCCTTTTGTGGGTTTTTTTGGTTGTTTTTTTTTTTTTAAATGACTGGTAAGGGGATCTTAACCCTTGACTCGGTGTTGTCAGCACCATGCTCTCCCGAGTGAGCCACGGACCATCCCTATATGGGATCCGAACCCGGGGCCTATGGTGTTGTCAGCACCGCACTCTCCCGAGTGAGCCGTGGGCCGGCCCTCTCATTCCTTGTGAATATGTAAAGAATATTCGAGTACGTGGAGGGGCCACACTGTGTTTATCCGTCAGTAGCTGGACGCTTGGTTTGTTTGCACCTTTTAGCTCAGTAAAGAATATTCGAGTACGTGGAGGGGCCACACTGTGTTTATCCGTCAGTAGCTGGACGCTCGGTTTGTTTGCACCTTTTAGCTCTGCAGTGCTGTACAAGTTTTCACGTGGGCGTGTGTTTTCGTTTCTCTGTGTGTATACCCAGGAGTGGAATTGCTGGGTCCCAGGACAACACTTTGTTTTTTTTTGGCGGCTGGCCAGGACTGGATCTGGATTAGGTGTCACTGAGCAACCACCCACCTGTTTTCCATGGCGGCTGCCCCGTCTTACCTTCCCACCCGCCCTGGGCGTGGGTCGTGGCTTGATTTCTGGGCCTCGGGCTCTGCCGGGCAATGCAGCATAGTGGGGTTGTGAGCTGCAGGTGCCACTCCTGTGTCCTGGCGCTGAGGGCTGCTGGCAAGGAGACCCTGAGGCCACACAGTCACTGGCAGGACTCCCCAGAGCCCACGCACCCCCAGGAGTGCTCGTCCTTCCCCTTTCTCACACCCCCTTCCCTGCCTCCTACTGCCCAGAGCAAGATAACCCCAACATCCACCCACAACCACTGCTGGGTCCACCTGCCGCACACCCCTGGGCCACACCTGGGCTCTCCTGCCTGTTACCAGCCCAGCCTGTCTCCATGTGCCCCCTCCCCTCCGTGGTCATTACTCCAGCAACACAGATGCCCTTTCTCCCATCTGAAAACTTACTCCTGGCCCCTGTCCCTCCCCAACATCGGCCTCTGCTCCCCTTGGCATCTGTACCACATATCCAATCCCTGTCCTCCCGTGAAACTGCCCCAGCCAGGCACTGGCCCCTGCCCTGAATGTGCCCTCTTCCTGGCCACAAGCAACTCCACTTGGCTAACCCCCACTCAATCCTCAGGCCTTGTCCCACTTGGCAGTTTGGTGACATTGGACAGTCACACCCTACCTTGGCCTCGAGACACCTGGTTCCCAGGACTCCTGGCAACCTCCCTCCCGTTATGCTGCTTCAGGAACATTTATGTCACGCTGCCAGTGCCAGGTGCCACTCTAAGCACCTGCTGTTATTATCCAGTTTCCCTAGAAAGTGGCTGCTCTTTTTGTTCCTGTTTTACCAGGCAGTGGGGGGGGGGGGGGGCGGGGGGGGGGGGGGGGGGACCCTGAAGCACAGAGAGGTTAAGCAACGTGACTGAGGTCACACAGCCAGGATTGGAGCCTGGGCAGGCAGCCGCTCCAGGGTCTGTGCTAAGCCATCCATCCTTTTGCTGCCTTCTCTCTTTTCCCAGCCTCTGACTCCACTGTGCTCCAGGGACTTTGTTCAGGCTCCCGGCTATAATCATGTGCCTGCAATACCTGCACGTCCATCTCCACCTGCACCTCACCCCGAACTCAAGACTCACATCCCACTGCCACCTCCGCATCTCCCCTTGGGGTCCCACGGGAGTTCCACACTCCACGCCAAGACCCCACTCCCAATCTGACCCCTACATCTGTCCCCCTGGGTCTGTCCCACCCCACGCAGGGGCAGCCCTGTCCCTCTTCTGCCTCTCTCCTCTGTCTCATCTCCCCCATCGTAAAATCTGCAAATCCTGTGGGCTTGGCCTTCAGAGCCACCCCCACGACGGGCAGGACGCTTCCACAGCCCCCTCCTGGTCTCTGCTTCTGTTCTGGCTCCCAACAGAGTGTTTCCAGCACAGCCGCCCCAAACATTGCAACGGCTGCAAAGAAAACCCGAACTTTTTATCCCAATCAACCTCCAGCCCCATCTCACCCTCTGACCTCCTTTCCTACCCCGTGCCCCGCACAGCCTGGGTGCTGCCAGCACACGAGGCAGGTGCAGCTGTTGGAGTGAGCAGGACGGAAGCCATGTTGGGACCTAAAGCTGCCTGGGCTGCGGGGGTGGGGGGTGGGGGTGGTGTAGGATATTAAAAAGGACAGTTTTTTCTCTCCACTCTTGCTTCCCATCCCCTGACTTTCTTATCTTGCTCGCTAAGTAGGAAAACAAGGCAAAGAAGCTAATTAGTACTTTGCAAAGCTAACAGTTCTTTCTTTGAGATTTGTAGAGTTTTGAGAAATGATCAAGCCCAAACGACTGGAAGCTGACCTTGGGCACTAGCCAAGTGCACTGGCGCAAATCAAAATCTTGCAAGGTTCTGAGATAACAGCGAAGATGAGAACAGAAACCAGCCGAGGCCTTGGCGAGACCTTGTACCTGACCCACTGACACGGACCCCTCATAGCTCGCGTCTCCTGCTCTCCTGCTTTTCACCTCCCACATTCCATTCCCTCAGGCCTTCCTTTAAAAACCCCTCAGTAAGTGTAAATCTTTGAGATGGGACAGCCCACCATCTCCTTCAGCTGAATACATCTGCTTTTCTAACACCAACCATTTGACTTCTGAGTTTTTTCTTCTTTCCTTTTCGAAGGGTCCGTTAACAGCCTCAGGAGCTCTCCCAACAGGCCTTCTCCAGACCTCCTGGGCCTCCCGCCCGCCTGGGGGTGTCTGCTTGAATCTGTCCTAGTGGTGTCCCCTGACCTTGTTTGACAGTGCACCCCCCCCCCGTCAGCCTGCTCTATATTTCTTTCTCCATAGCGTTGTCCCCTCTGACATACTTCTTCATGTATTTCCTACGTTCACTGTTTTTTATCCCGTCTCTTCCTGGAATGCAAGGGGCGCCTGCCCTGAGGTTGCACAGTAAGTGCCGAATTCACTGAGTTAATGTACCATTGAATGAGAAGTTACTGATCGCCTCCCGGGCACTGGGCGCTGGGCTGGGCGACCCTCCTTCCCGGATTAGGGGAGACAGTGCCAGGTTTGGAAAGACATGGAGAGCCCAGGGGAGGTGGGGAACCCAGGCCAGACAGGGCTGGGGCTCAGGGCGCCTGGAGCTGTGCCAATCCCTTCCAAAGAGTCTCACTCAGCCCTCTAAAATAGAAACACTTTATTCTTTCCATTGCACAGACGGGGAAACTGAGGCTCAGCAGCGATAACTTGGACGTGGCCAAGAGCCAACTGCGAAAACCTACAGTTCGATGCACACATGTTTCTAGAGTACCCTAACCCTAACCCCTACCGTCTCTAGAAGCCGAGCCCACCCTTGATCCCGCCCGGGCCTCAGTTTCCCCGCCCACACCTCGCCTTTGCCTCGTGGGATTCTAAACCGCCACCCGGAGGTGGCAGTGGTGCGGAAACTACAAGTCCCGAGAGGCCGTGCGGCGAAAGCCTCGCGAGAGCCGTGGGGTGGAGGTCCTCGCACAGCCAACGGCCGTTCTCGGAAATGCCGAGCTGTCCGTGGCGCTGCCGGTGCCGGACGTTGCTGCATTCAGGCGTTCGCCGATGACAGCCATGCGTGGGCGAGATGAGGCCTGAGCGGGATTCTGCGCAGGCGTCGTCCGCGCGAATCCTCACGGGCGCATGCGTCGTGGGTGCGCGCGGCGGCGGCCATGGACGACGAGGAGGAGACTTACCGGCTCTGGAAGATTCGTAAGACCATAATGCAGGTGAGGAGCGCCGGGCGCCCCTGGGTAGCGGCCGCGCCGTGCGGGAGCGTCGAGCCCGGCCTCTCCCCCGACCGCCGCCTGTGCGGCCTCCCGAGGCCCCGGTGCTGGGTCCGCCCAGGCCTGCCTTGCGCGGCGTCGGGAGGGCGCTCGGTGGCCGAGCCGAGGCTCCGAGGGTCCCGGATGCGGCGGCCGATGTGGGCGGGGGGCTGGGCCCGGTGCGGAGGCCAGAGGAGAAGGACGGGGGCGCGCTCGGGGG